TTGACATTATAATACTGGGGCCTCTCGTGTAGAATTTACAAAAGAGCTTCGATTATACCGATTTGTCTCATGGATTCGCGTGGGGACTTCGTGAATTCCTTTGATCCTTTCTTCTTCTACTATTCCTGCTATGGCTTCGGTTAAAATCGCGGTTGCACGGAACCGGACTATAGTTTGCAGCCTGTCATTTAGGGGTGTATATCAGTTGGACACGGGGCAATTGGACACAGTCCAATTACAAGTCGCTGTTCCAAGGGACCCTACAAATGTCTCTAATCATACCGTGCTGTGATTGGCTGTGTCCAAATGCACCGTGTCCAAGTGCACCGCTCCCGTCATTTAGTCCTAATTGGTAATTAATAAGGGCTAGTGATTTTAGAAAGAAATAGATGCGAGTTTCTGTGAGAGCGAATAGAAACCCCCTCGGTTACGGCTTCGAATAAGTCTGTGGTTAATTTCTCCACACGGTTTCCGAAGGTTCGCGCGTCTTCTCCCGGCTTCTGACGCAAATTGTTAAAATCTCGTAGCCGAGTTACCGACTTTTTCTTCATAATATATGTTTCTACGTACTTTTAATACGTCTTTTAAGATAGCAAAAGTAGGGATGTTTCGGTTTTTAACCTCAGTTAAAGCGATGTCTTTTAACTTAGTGGAGATTATTGCTCGGATTAACGCAGATTCATCGGCGGAGTGGATCAGTTCGAATGCATATTCGCACGCAGTTAGAACTTCTATTAATTTATCGTCCTGCGCGCCATTGAAATTGGGGATCTGATCTTGCATTTCTCTGACGCGTCGGGTTCGTTCCTCGTTAATCGAAGGTAGCCCGTCGATAAAGAGGTTGTCAAGGTTGAGTTCTCGTCTGTTTGAAGAGTACCGTTCTGGTTCGGCGTTAGCTTTCCTTACGTTTCGTAGGATGTCTCGGAAAACATTAGTTAATGGAGTCGTATTCGCATATATTGTTTCCCGTAACTCTTCCACATGCGCTAATAATTGTTCGTTAGCAGTGATATAGGGCTCAATCTCATCCTTCATGACAAATTCTTCCTCAATCTCATGACAAATTCTGCTGGATCCCGGTCATGTTTTGTTCCCGTCGCCCAGTGGAGTTGCCCGCAGTGGAGGCCCGCGCGGGCGAGAGACCTCCTGATCTATGTCTCCTTTTGCTGCGTGTAGGATTTCGTCGCCTCGCCCGGTAGTCATTTCGTCAGTTGGATCAAATATGCTACTATCGTAGAACGTCAAAGAAAAGTCTCCTCTGTGTGAGGCATCGCTTACAATACTGTGCAAGGGTAATAACGCGCGATGCCTTGTACGGCGGTTTTCGTTGTTATCTGGGGGTTGCACGTCCGGTAATATACTATGATCTACTTTGCCGAAAGTGAATTCGCGTTCGACGGTTACATGCGACAGAAACTCGCGTTCGGTTTCGCTCGAGTAATCTAACGCAACAAGATCTAATGTTTCGCGCACGTTATTTAAAGCGCTAGCGACCGTCTCATTGTAGTTCGATAGACGCTCGATGCTTAATCTCGCCGGTGTGCTATGTAGCCACGTTCGGTTTGGTATCCATCGGTCGGGGGTACCGCTCTCGCTCGACATTCACGTTCCTGAGTATAAGCTCGCATGCGCTCAGTCGCTTGAATTATAGTTATTTCTCGACTTATATTAATGTTGTTACGGCTCGTACATAGTTCGGCATGTTTGGTTGTATTAGCAGGCAGGTGATCGGCCATCACTGGCCGATGGGTGATTGGAGCAGGCCGCGGTCGCCGCTGATGTATTCGCCACAGGCTCCGGTGTCGCTGACAACGGGTATCGTTGGCCGTAGCTCCGACGGTCGTCTTGATTCCGCTGCCGCATCGTCTTTCACCGGTTTCCGCTGTTTTCCTCCGTTTTACCTTATGGTTCCAGTTTGTTTTCTTGGAAAGCTCGCAATAACTTTTCGAGCTTTTTTCGGACAGACTTGTTATCAAAATGTATCAACGGAGTATTTTCTTCCTTCCGTTCGTGTAATGTATCGCCCGTCCTCGAGATAGCCGATAACAATTGTCAATGGACCTATCTCCGACATCCACTATCCAGCGAGAACGTTGACGTCGATTCGACATCTAACCGATGTCGGAGAAATCTAAGTTACGTCTAGTTTAAATGCACATCTAGAAAAATGGCAATTTAGACGTCTTCTATTTTGAGTAAATGTTAATGTTTTAGAATCCATTCATAATATATTGACCATTAAAATAGAGTTTCCGATAAAATTTCGGGATTTTATTTTGTCGATTATTTACAATCTCTCTAGACGTCTATTCGATATTAAATCTAATACCCAGATAGCATAGAGATAAACAGAAGTTCTTAGAGAATTCATTTTAAAGAATAGATAGAAGAATAGATTTTTATAGAACTAGAAAAATCAATACCCGAAGAATTCTTGAAGAATTAACTACAATAAGTTCGTCTTGAAATATCTCTTAGGACTTTATTATAGCGAATACTTTGCGACTTAATTCCTAGAACACTTTGAGAATTCGTGAGAAATTAGGACTAAGGCAGAGAACGAGATGTAAGCGACGTAATCGTAGACGTAAAGTAAGGCAGAGAAAAACGTAAACATAAGGCTAATAGCCTTTCATGACTTACATTTTTTCTGCCTTATTTTACTTTACGTTTTTTTTCTGCTTTATTTTACGTCTACGACTACGACGCTTACGTCTCGTTCTCTGCCTTAGCCCTTACAAATATTTTGTTTATAGCAACTACTTTTTGCGCCTATATTCAGTACAGTGAGTGTATAGTAATTGATTTATATATTTACATATAAATTGTTTAATTTATTGTTATTCACAGTTATTTATATTTTGTGAAATTAATTATATAGTTTTATATAATAGCGCAAAGAAAGGGAATTAGTGTATTGGAATATAATAGGGCAAAGAAAGGAAATTGGTGAATTTGGGAAAATAGCTTTTCATATATAAAATGTTCTTTTGTATTAATAATAAATAGATTTATGTGAAGTATATTTTATCCTTAAATTTATATTCATGTTTCTAAAATCCATATACAGTTCTAACAAATTCAATTGCATTATTTGAAAGCCACTTATTCTTGGATTTTGTATTACATACTTGAAAGTGCGCTTTATTTATATTTGAAGTTCAGTTAGAACAGTATATACCCAGCAAAAAATGATTCGTTGATTGACGTCAGAACGACATCAAATAGACGTTGAAATCGTCAAACCGACGTCAATTTGATATCATTTTGATAACAATCAACGAATCATTTTTTACTAGATATATAAATGTCACAAACATGAAGTCTTAAATAGCTCAGTGGAAAAAGCGGTTGTTTGGCAAGTGGGAAGACCCGAGTTCGATCCGCCGAGTTTGATGTTTTTCATCTCATATGGTATTAAAAGCGGACATCTACAGATACACAAGCACACCCGGCCAAAGTTTCTGATCTTTCTTTCGTATGGATGCAATAAAATTTATTAAATCCGAAGAAATCTTTTTGAGTTGAAGTAATTCTATATGAATATTCTAAGAAGTTCTGAAGAACTCCAATCATGGTGCATGTAACTTCCTAAATCATTCTTATAGTATTCTTCCATGAATTCCTAAAAAAGTACAATTCAGGAAAGGAGAAAACTTTAGGAATACTTAAAGAATTTATCGCATTATCTGGATATATATTAGACATCGATTCAATATCGAATAGATGTCTAGAGAAATTGTAAATAATCGACAAAATCAAATCTTGAAATTTTATCGAAAATTCTCTTTTAGTAATCAATTGACCATTAAACCACAATTTCCATAGAAGGAGGAGGGCATACTAGGTGGCGGCGGGACGCCGTGCGTTCGAGATCTGCGTATCTTTTTCGTTCCAGAAAGAGAAAAATATCGAGAGCGCGGTCTTGCTAGGCCGGGACTCGAACCCGGGTCTTTCGCTTGCCGGGCGACTGCTCTAAACCACTGAGCTACCTGACGCTCCACGCTCACGACACTCTCCTCTTTCTAGATAACGCTCAGAGATGCCGTTCGGAAGCGACATCTCTGGCGCGATCCCGAGCGCACGGCGACTACAGAGAGAAACAATGTTACTGTACCAAATGATACAGCTGTCAGTCTCAACCACAACTATCTATTCTTTAATCGATTATTTATAATCTCTCTAGACGTCTATTCGATATTGAATCGATGTCTAATATATATCTTTTGTTTTACGCGTAAAAATGTTTTCATTTTTACTAGAGATTTGACTTGAGATACACAGGATATTTGTTTACTAATATTTTACGACCCGCTATACTGGACATAGCCCTTAATATGATATATCAACTTACTAATAATATTTTTTAATAAACTTACTATAATATTTTTTCTTTTTATAAATTTCTTAATATTTTATTAATAAATAAGTTATACTTAATTTATTCATTAATAAAATTAATACATTTTAGGTCATTTTTTTTTACTAAGACGTAAAGATTTTTTTCTTCTATATAAAAGTAACGAGTTGCTCTACTGTCTTGTAAATTTTAGCTCGTAATCGCTATTCCAGTGAGAAATTACTTATTATTCGACGTCGAATCGACGTCGAAATCGTCAAATAAACGTCGATTCAACGTCGATCGATAAGATAGCAGTTAAATAAACATCGCATCGATACCTATTAGACACCTAAAACGTCTAAAAGACATCGATTCAATGTCTATTCGTCTTACCACGGCCGTCTAAAGTTAACATCGATAAGACGTCGAAATGACGGTCTATTAGACATCGAAATGTGGACAGTTTTTAGATCGATATAGATCTTAATCTAGATTAGACGTAGATGGTAGATAGACGTTTCATATAGACGTCTGGTAGACGTCGAATCGACGTAACTTTTCTCGCTGAGTAGCTGGCTCTGACGGTCTCTTATTCTTCCTTTCTTTGTTACTTTCATCACCTTTTGCTAACCCGTAGTATAATTTCCTCTGTTCATAGGTGAACACCCAGGGCCCGGCGGATATCGATCCCACCGCTGCCACCAAATTGTCATACCCGTGGTGTCGAGCACGAGGAAATGGATCTTGGATTCGGCGTTGTGGGCGCGGTAGAGTGTGAGACGGTGGATAATCACGAAGATTATAGTTGCGTTTTTTAGTAAAACAGATTTTATGGTAACTCCAAATATTGATTAATTCGTTTAACTCCCGATGTTACAATATAATATAGTGTACACGACGGGCGCGTAATTCTCGGGCGCGAGACCAGAAGAAGTTCGCCGCACGGTCTTCTCTGGTCTTTTTATAATAGCTATTAGACCTTATCGTAGAAGGTGGCTTAGGCAACAAGGAATTTGCTGAATTTGCTGGATTGACCCGGCACGTGCTAGCTCAAGGCCGAGGCGCGCAATGTGCAAGGTGGTGTTTAGTGCAGCGCTTGCACTTCCGCTGCCGGGTTATAGCGCGGTCGAAACAATTCTTTGTGAAGCGTTTCGGCAGCGCATAAAATGATGTTTTATTTTACGATTATAACATAGATATGTTGCTAATGCAGTCTACCCAGATAACAAAATGCATGCAAAATAATCTCACAGTACGCGCACGCGTGCGGGATTACTCGTACGGCGTGAACGTTATACGCCTGACAGATGTGTCCTCAATTAAGTGCCATATTGCTTGCACGCATGAGGATTCACGTGTGAAAATAAAATGTCATTCAGGCATGCGAGCGATATGAACCTCAGTTGAGTGTTGAATGAATGAGCATTTTATTTTTATGTAAATATGTTTATTTTTATTATATCAGATAATTTTTTATAAATATAGAGTGACAAACTTTTTGTACAGCAATTTATATGCGGATAGAACACATTACATTGCACAGAAAAGTCGAATTTCGCTAAATGATATTTAATTATAAACTTAAGAGAGAAAAAAGTAACCAAAAAATCATAAAAGAAAAATATAAAAGAAAACTATAAATAAAAGAAAACTATATATCCTCATAAAAGAAAACTATATATCCTCTTCATCTGTGTATTTAGAACCGCTGGATGATGATTGAATGGATTCTTCATTTGGAAGGAATGGATCTTCATCTGGAAGGTTGCGGTTCATTTGTTTCTTGTAGCGTTGTTTCACCGCTCGCAACACTTGTAGTATATGGATCTTTATTTCGTTTTTATCAATGAGTCCTCGAAAAAATGGACACCTTTTAACTGCATCTGTAAAAGATTATATTGTACAATTACACAGATACTTTCATAACGAGATCTTTTGAAATATTAATTTAGGATATTTTATATAAAGTGTTCCATTTTAATCAATACAATCGATTTTCTCAAAACGTAAAGGAGAGACGAAAATATGTTTCAAACTAAAGTTTTATAGTTTCAAAAAGGATAGAAAATGACTCCAATTTAAGATTGTCAACTTAATTATAGGATGCAATATTTTCTATATTTTTTCACAGCGGCTGTTCATTTTTTTAAATGAAAGTCAACGTTTTCATCGAAATGAAAGTTGGAGCTAGCAATGAGACGAATACAATAGTTTTTGTAAATGTTGAATCTCCTCACTTCTAACAGAGCTCCAAAGTTTTTATTATCTTTACAACTTTGGAAAACTGTTACTCCAAAAAAAATCACGATTTTGAAATTCAAAAATTTGACGAGTTTGTCTCGGTAATAGTTGTAATTGTTATTGGAGGAAAAACTCGATTATCACAAAAAAAAATTTTTTTTTTATATTTTCATTTATAATTGATTTTTTGTCAAATGAAAGTTATATAATAAAGTTTATATTAGTATAAAGAGATAAAATCATAACATTTTTGAATTTGATAATTGTGTGATTTTTCATAGTGTAACAGCTATCCAAACTTTGAAAAATAATCAACTTTGAAGCTCTATAAAGGTACAAAGTAATCCGATTCGAAAGTTGCAAAAACCGTTGTATTTGTCTTAGATTAGACCAGCTTTTATTTCGAGTCAAAAATCGACTTTCATTTGAAGAAATAGCCGCCATGAAAAATTTCGAAAATGACGCCACGTACAATTAAGTTGATAGTCATCTACTATCCCCCTTGAAACTATAAAACTTTTGTCTGAAACAATTTTTTGTATCTCCCTTTAATTTTGGAAAAAATGGACTGTATTGATTATGAGGGTACATCATATGTCTCTATTTTATACATATAAAACCTCTCACAATATACGATATTGATGAGTTTTGTTTTGCTAAACGTTCTTGTGCCAGGATCACCCAGCCATGTGAAGTACATCAATTCATCTGTCAATAAAAAATTTAATAATAATAATAATATTGTATTATATTGTAAAGAAGAGTCGATAAACTTTGTAACACTAATATACCCAACAATATTGATTCCTTTTTCGTGACTTGGGCGAAGAAAAATAGACAAGTGCAAAGTTTTAGACATAAGTCTGTGGTAGTAGTCACCGCAAGACTTATTAAGCTTGTGAATTGTACAATATATTATACATATGTAAGTACAGATAAATGTAATAATAATGTACATTTCTTGTACAAATATAATTCACTTGGACATTTTTCAGGCCCGAGCTACAAATCGCATGGAAACAATATAATTAAGCATCAATTGTGTATGTGTGTGTGTGTTTATATGCGCTAAGTGATTACACAAAACTCCATTAGCTGTGTAATAATTGCATGTATTTTTTCATTTGTAAAGGTTATTTCCTAGTCGTTTCTTAATTAAGAACTATGCTCAAATGATGTTTTGAAAAAACACAATTTCATCTGCATATGTGTATATATATTGCGACGCCTTTTATTGTTACTTAAGCGGACAGTTACTTGTCCGCCGCGTCGGCAAACCTCCGCGATTCCCGAATCTCACCTCGAAATTACGAACGCGAAGTTGGGCGCCAGGTGCGGTAAGGGCTATCGCACACAAATTGACATAACTGCATATGCATAGCATAAGATCGTATGGACCAATGAGCATCGAATATTAAGCATCGAACACCAATATGGCGACTTAATACTCGATGCTCATTGGTCCATACGATCTTATGCTATGCATATGCAGTTATGTCAATTTGTGTGCGATAGCCCTAAGGCCGCACCTCCTCACCAATTATGTATCAAAATATGGCGCGAGAATCGTTTGTCGACAGATCGGGAACTCCACGGGACCGGTAGCTCTCCTTTAATTTGAGTCGGAGATGGAAATGGATATTGTGTGAGGTTCGGTTTTAGTCGGGAGTCGAAATAAGTCAAGGCAGGTTGCTTCGATTACTCTTTACTGTCCGGGACACGTTAGTCCCGATATCTCTCACTTGAAATTGTTGAACGCGATAACGGTGGATTTTAGCGCAATCGACACGGCTCTCGCGAGACGGTATCCGACAACCACTCCTCGGGTAGGACGATACGAGACACCACGACGTTATAATTCGAGACAAATGGTCAGTCTTACAAAATGTCGGCGCTCCCTCGTCCGCTATGACCCGGGGGCGGTGTCCGCGGTGACCTTCGGCGATGATAGCTCCTAACTGCGGTCGGGTGGGTACTCCGCTCGCTCCTGCCTCCGCTTGATCTCCTTCGGTCGTTTCTCGACAATTGGGCTCGACACTCCAAATTCACAAACGGTACGAAAGGTAAACGGCAAGTCGGTACGTCAGTACAATTAGCCGACAGCTTGTTGTGTTGGTCGGTCACGCCGCCCGACCAACACAACAAGCACAACGGCAAGCACGGGACTTACAATTTCGCCTGCACTGCACTACCTCCTCCGGCGCGCACAGGATCACTAATTATTAGGACCTTAACTTAGTTTCCGCCCAAAAAATACTGAGAAAAAGCATTTATTGTAAAAAATTTATTTAAATTATTTCAATGAAAGTATTTTCCATCACTTTCTACAACTTTTTGCCATCTTTCTGGCAACTGGGCGATACCATCTCGATAAAACGATGTTTGTTTCGAAGCAATCCATTCGTCCACCCATTCTCGCACTTCTTCAACATTTCGGAAGCGTGTACCACTCAAGCCGTGCTGCATCGA